AATAAATTACAGGCTCATTCTTCCTTTAATATCTTTTGGGTACATCAGAGTCAGATGATCTTTACAGTCACTCACTTTAACGTGATGATTCTCCGTACTAGCTATATCTCCGTAGCTATAGTGACTGCAGAGGTAAAAGGTAGGAATGTTTGCTTAAATCAAATCAGGTGGAAAAAATTAGTGAAAGAAATGACCTTCCTGTTTTGTAATTACCACCAGCGTTTTGGGATCAGTATTTCTCGAGTGCTTTATTTCTACAACAGAGAGTATAGTTTACTGCAATAACTGTCCTTATGCAGTCATTAGTGCCACACAGAATAAACATATTACTCGTCTCATTTCTTCTTTTAAGTAATAGCAGTGGATATTGTTTCTAGTCAGGTGTGACTGCACAATCTTGTCTGATAACAGCATGGGTAGGATGCAGCATAGATTCAGGTTCTTTGTGGACATAGCAGGGGATTGTGGGTAGCCCCGGAGGGAGTTATGGCTCGACAAATATTTGAAGTGCAGCCCCAGATCTGTTTACCTCAGCCGAAGGTTCAGGCTAAAGCTGTTACTAGTGAATTATGCATCTCAAATAAGACTGAGTCAGACGTGGCGGTCAAATTTAAAATTAACTAAAATTTCTAACAATAAAAAAATATGCTTTTGTATCTCTGCTCTTACTTATTGTATTTTATAGTCATTTGTATGTGCAATTGATTTTCAGACAACCTGTGAGAAATCAATAAAATTGATCTATGATGATTTAAGGATCCCCGACCTAGATTTTTTTTTTTTTATTCTTCTTTACCTAAGCAAACACATAATCTTGCATATTTTCCATCTATCTTACACAGTTTGAGTTCCAGAAAAACACACAAAAAACACAGTTAAATTCTGATCATTTCACATTTTCAACATGTATTTGTATACTTTACATCTGCATTTTCATCATATGAAATAAATTTTAAGTACAAATAACAACAACATCTATCACATTAGAAGAAATGTTCCAAAAGTGGAACTTGAGGAAAAAAAGGGCAGCAAATGGTGCATTAATCCCAAATATTTTAGTAAAACTTGTCAAACATGGTTACAAAAAAATAGCCCCACAAAGGCTAAACTAAAAAGACTGACACCGAGTTGTGTTGATCTACAGAGTGCAATCACAGCATAACCATTCTACAAAATGTTTTGTTAGGATGTTCAATATCCCTGTTTGATTATTTGCTGTGGATATAATCCAGTATCAGTGCATCCCTCGGGATAATTGGATTTGTACAGGGCGTTCATTTGCCAGCTCTAATCAAAAGAGAGAGATTCAAAAAGGTATCTGCATTGTCAATCATGTAGCAAACGCAGAAGTTGTTAATTATGAAACTGGATCTTTCAAGCTTTTTGTGACGTTGGATTGAACTGACATAGTTCTCACAACATTATAAATATTTTATATCAAATTTGTCCAATATGAAACTGCAGTGCTTCATGCAACAGGCCTTTGTGCAGTAAAGTGGAAAACCTGAATTCTGATAATGGCTACAACTGGAAATCAGAAAAACATGGCAAGGTTTAAATTGACCTAAAGAAACCAAACGTATATCGATATCTTCCCCAGGCCTGATCAAAAAGGTCAACCCTGTAATGAACTGTGTCCAGTGTTGCAGATCAGGGGTCCACAGTGGGAATGGTGCTAACCTTGTTGTTCCTGCTGATCCGGCGTTCAGGCCGTGGCCTCGGCAGTTTGGTCTGGATCAGCTCCTCGGGTGTGTTACCCAGGGGCGGCAGCAGCCTCTTCTTGCTGTTCCTGGTTTCAGGTAACCATTGGGGGGGCAGCTCAAATGGTCCAAAACCAAACTGGGTGGAGTCCTCTGCTTCCGTCGGCGTAGCAGGTGCGACCTGCGATGAAGAGGCATAAGCACAGGTGTGGACTGGAGAGGCCCGTGGTGCTATGATTGAAGGAGGGACTTCCTTAGTGATGACCAGCCCTCCTCCTGTCCCCTGGGGGCCCTGCAGAGGCTCCTTTTTGGTGATCACTTCATCTCTGAGGCTTCCTAGTCTTGACCCACGCCTCTGGTCATCATTGGGCCCTGAGCAGCCCCCTGATCCTTGAGAGGGGATCTCGTTCTCCACATCCTCTTCCTCTTCTTCTTCCTCAGACGGTCTGAAGATCTGCTGTTGGCCAATGTTAAACATCTCTAGAAGCTGGCTCCCAGAGCGACCAGCTGTCTCCAGTCCCACCGGCTCACCAATCGCCCCTTCTGCCCCCAGAGATGCCAGACCCCCGGTGCTGACCACATTACGGCGGCTGTAGCGTCTGTGAATCCTGGCCACCAGGTCCAGCCAGCTGTGGCGCGCTGAGCGGTTAACAGTCAGAAACAAGAGTGGGTTGGTGAGGAGGGACACCTTAGGGAGCCAGAGAGCCGTAAGATACAATGAGGCGGGCAGCTCTTTAGTGTCTGCCAAAATGGTTCGATAAACCACTAAGGCTCCATAGGGGGCGCTGCACGCAGAGAAAGCCAGCACCACAGCCAGCAGAGTAGCATGTAGCTCGGCTTCTCTCTGGGACACGTACGGAATGGAGATGCTGTTCTGAGGAGTCCGCAAGGCTGCAATGATCACCTTCTTCTTCTGGCTGGCACTGAGTGCTCTGCGGATCAGAAGCATGAAGAGGAAGACCAGAGCCAGAGGGAGGATCACGGTGGTGACGTTGTAGATCAACACGTACACCATGTGGCCCAGGGAGCGGGCGTGGTCGTCTGAGCAGGAGGAGGTGACGTACACATCTGTCACGTTGGTCACAGCAAACACAGGTAGGCTGGCCACAGTGGCATGGACCCAGATATAGATGACCAGGTCCCGAGATCTTGCATCTGAGATCTTTCTCTCTAATGGATACAGCACTGAGTAGTATCTACAGGCAGAAAGACAAAGTATTTCAGCTTGACATCTTGCATGCAAGTAATTTAATATTTTGGGTTCTGGACTATTGATCAGACAGAACAACATGCTACATGATACCAATTTGGGATATGAGACATTTTGACTGAGCACTTCTCACTGTTTTCTGATGACTTACAAACCAAATGATAGTCACTTGATTTTGACAACATTCAACAGATTAGTTGTAGCTCTCATTTCATGCTGTTACCTTCCACCAAACCAAATAATTCCAGTAAAAATGAAGAACCTTTACTACATGAAAGGACCTAAAGAATGTGAAGAACCATCCCTTAAATAAAGAGGTTCCTCACTTTGTGGTGGTACTTTGCAGAACCAACGCAGGAAGAACTTGTGACATACACAGGAGGAAAGTAATGCAGGTGTTAAAAATACAGTGAATTGAACTGAGTTTTAGGATCCTGGTTTTCTTCACATAATTTCTGCTCTGAAAAAGGCCTGTTTGGTGAGAGTGTTGCCTAAATGCAGTGATGCTGAGATGACTTATTATAATCTGTCTCAAGATGAAAAGTAAAATGGAGGAAAGTAAATAAAATACACACATTAATAACAAAAGATGAAACATTTTGCTCTGAAAATAATATCCCTACTATTTTCATGGGCACGTAGCTAATGAAAAGATCAGGTCAATTATGACCCTCTCACTGAAGGATGGCCTTGTGGTGTGACTGTTTGAAGGGGGCTTATTAACATTCTAAACTCCAAAAACTGCCAGCAGGTTTGAAAAGCAAGTTGTCTTTACAAAATTACCAAAGTAACAGCATTTATCAGACCCATAAACTGTACAAACACAAAGGATTGTTGGATTTTCAACTTTCGAACAGTTCCTACAACTTGAACTCATCTGTTATGTACTGTTCTGTTGGAAAACTCAAACTAATCTGGCCTAAAAATTATGATGTTTCTCATTTTTGTGACGTGTCATTCAAAAAAAAAAATCACCATAATTTGGGCTGAACTGGGCTGAAGTGCAGGCTATGTACACAGAGCAGATATGAGACAAGTTAAAAATGTAAAAGTTAAATATCTATAGTATATGGAGCTACCATCCATTTTTCCAGTATTGGCAACACCTGTGGGTAATTGATAAAATGTTGCATATCGTTAGCCTCATAGCATACTTGCCTAAGTCATATTTTCATGTTTTTGGGAAATGAGAAAAAACACAATTTTTAGAAATGACATTGGTATTTATTACTGATTTTTTAACAGTACGTTCCACCAGATGTGATTGGCCAATGACATAGGTAGAAAGACAGGATGATGCAGAAGTGATAGGAGAGTAAAGTTAGGCAAATATCTCAATTTGACCAAAAAATGACTTAGGCAATTATGCTATGAGGCTAACGATATGTTTTCTTTTTTTTAATTTTTGTAAAATATGTAATAAAAGAAATTCAAATTTGGTTGTGCTGTTTTCATAGAGGTGCCGGATTTTATGTTGCAATGAGAAAACAGTGGGGAAATCTTTGACAAAACACCAAGGAACTGGTTAAGACAAAAAAAAAAAAAACATGTCTACCATTTTAGCAGCCACTTTGAATGTGCTAAAAGGCACCCAACTCATTAGTTCGAATCATGAATATTTAACACTTGCTTTTATTGGAATGAGATGAAAAAATATTCTTTTCATTTATGTGTGGCATGGTAACCTTTGCTGAGGGTAAAATCATGGGAGTGCTTTTTCAGTGCACACCTACAACAGTACAATTAGATCTCCTGATATCTGCATTACAGATAATAGTATGTGGAGTGTCTCTCATCCTATTGTTGTTCCTTAATTAAAAGCAAAACAGATCACATTAAGGATTAATATTCACCTAGACTGTCTCATCTGTGCTACTGTATGAATGTGTTTGTATGTGAGCCTGCAACTGTGCTGCAATCTCACCCTTTCTGTATATCCACAGCCTTGATTACCCTCCGAGAGGATAAATAATTCATTGCTTTGATATCATTCTGACTTACTAGTTGCTATGGAGGCAACACAATCTTTGTAGCAGCGAAACCAAGGTTCAGACGAGGCTTCACCCATACAGAATCTGGTTATATCAACCTAAAAACATCTTTGAAATCCACACCTATGAAAGGTAAACTGTATTCAGTGTGGTTCTGTTGACCTGATTAAGTCCTGCATGATTTCTGGTTTGCAGGATGACACTTCATCAGTGATCTTTTGTGATCCTTTGTCTGTACACCACAGTCATCCAATATTAACTACAATATTATATTTATAATTAATATTCACATTATAATAACAGCAAGTTTTTCGTACATGTAGATGTTATGAATTAGATATTCAGAATATGGAGGCTTCAGAGCTCTTTTGTGAAGAACAGCCGGAATTGCATACATGCTGACATTCATTTTTTATGCAGGATAGATGCTAAAGTTGTGAAGTCTGGCATGGAAGAAAAAAGGTCTTGGAGGATGACTCATTGACTAATAAGCCCTCTATGACATCATCTGTAGGTTTCCTGAACAGTGGTTTTGGAGCTCGGTGTGCTGGTTTCAGCTGTCGCCATCATGCAAATGTCTCTGGATCATGGACAGTCCAGTGACAATGATTAAGCCTTAATCTAATTGAAACAGGTTAGTTATCTAAAAAGGCGTGTTGCTTATCTCCCAACTACTAAAAATGTCCATGCAAACTATCACTGTGTCATACAATCTCTGCTGTTTGTCACCCTTATTTAATTTTTTGTTTTAGTGAGAGATAGAGAATATTATTGTCATTATTAATCCTAGTGGCAACCCACGTGGCTACTCTAGTAGATTTGATACCATTTGATACAGGCCTGTAACCATCACGATCCATGTCTTTGTGTATCTCTTGTTGTCTGTACTTCTTGCCTCTGTGTGTCTCCCTCCCTTTTGATTGCCCTGATCTGTTTTATCAGGGTCTTGTGACTCATCTGTGTCTTGTCTCCCAATTAGTTCCCTGTGTATGTATAGTCTTGCCTTTTCCTTTGTTCCCCACCATTTCGTCCTGTTTAATCTCTTGTTTAATCTCCAGTCAGTTCCAGCAAGATTTCTTCTGTATGCTCCATGTTTTGCCTGTTTTGTATTTTCAGTTTTCAGTTCTCTCACCAGATTTGTGCTTTTGCATTTGGATTAGTTACTCTTGAGATTCACGTGGACTCTTAGTTTGGATTTTACCCTCAGCTGCCTTTATCAAGCCTGCCAAGTGAGTTTTGAATTAAGTTTCAGTTTTGGCTGATTGTCATTTTTTGAAACCAAACATGCATAGCTTTTAGTTTCATAAGAAAAATAACTTAATTAAATTAAAGATTAGTTAAATCCATAATCAGATACATGGCACCATAGAGAAAGCTTTGAACATAAACAACCATAATCCAGCGACATAACTTGGTTAGTTAAATGGATAAACAAGCACCAAAATTGTGTGATTTACATACGTCAACAAAAAAAAACCTTTAAAATGTCGTTTCTGTCTCTCTAAAATGCTGGGTTATGCTGTGCTAGTAGGAAAGACAGGGGTAGCAACAGGGCAAGGAGGAATGCTATTTTAATTTTTGTGAGGGTAAAAAAGCCAGATGAGACGGAATTATTCTTGATAGTCAGAATGTGTGTGTGTGTGTGTGTGTGTGTGTGTGTGTGTGGGCAGCAGCAGCCATGTCTGACTGCTTTTGGCTGGAGTGTTTAGTGCTGCAGGGAGGCCTGGGACACATGCTCCATCGATCGCAATCCTCCACCCCTTCTTATCCACACCACAGGGTGCAGATGGAGATTGAAAAACACGTTTTCCTTCACACAAAAGAAAAAACAATCTTCCAGAATTTGGCCCCCATTTGAAACTGCTTCACTTGTGCACTTGATGTTCCAAGATGTTTTCAGAAAAGTGTTACTCCAGCTGACTCGGCAGAGCAATGTATTGACAAGCTGATCAGGGAATTGAAAAAAACAACCCACTTCTCTCAAGTGGTCCTTTCAAAAACAATGACGTGAATAAGAGGAGTCAACTCACTTTTTTCAAACACATTTTAAAATCGGTAGCTTCAGCTGCAAAGCTGAAGTGAGCAAAAACAAAACAACATGCACTGCACTCAGGACAGAGGGCTCTTCTGTTTTTTTTACCTGTTTTGAAGAAGGTGAACTTTAATCTCAGGTGTAAACCACAATTACTGTTGTGAACAAAAGTTTCCATACACTTGTAAAGACCATGTGTTTCATGGCATTCTTGAGTTTCCAGTGACTCTGTAACTCTTCATTTTGTGTGATGGAATTACTGGAATGCATGCATCTTTGCCACAAATAACAGTCGTGCATTTTGGCTCTTTAACAGATTTTTACGGGTCTCCTGGAAATATGAATCTGCTGGGTCAGAAACATACATGGCCTTCACAAGTGTGTGTACACTTTGGTAACGACTGTATCTATGATTACAGTATGTGTTGTCCCTGCCTACTTTGTATGTATGAAGTGAAAAAGATGAATGTTATTTGGATTGACCTGTCAAGTGCGATGGCACTGAAGCTGAGCACAGTGACAGAGCAGAAAAGTTTGTGGAGGAACTTGAGGGCCTTGCAGAGCAGCAGTGTGTGAAGCCACCAGCAGCAGCGAGGACTGGCTCCAAGTGCCACGTCGAATGGAACGCACACCAGGCCGGCGCAGATGCCGGAACATGCCAGATTCTTGATGAAGCGATTGGTCACAGATTTAAAGACATTCGTGCAGCAGGTGCACCACAGCACCATGGCATTACCTGTGGGGAGAGGGAAGGAGGTTCATAGCTTTAGAATAAGATCAGACATACAGTGTGTTTCCTGATACACACACACACCTTTGTAGAAAAAAATGAATTTGTTGCATCTTTGCAGCTATTGGACAGTTAACGACAAAATGCTAAATCGTTTGAATTTGCACTACATAGAAGGACAAGACAACCACAACAACACAGGTTCAGTGCAGACTGACATTCAAACTCACTAGGAATACAAAATACAAAAATTCAGGGGACAATGAGACTTGAAGATGATTATTTGCAGGTGCATAAACACCACCGTTTCCTTTGAATGTTACAAGCCTCCTTTATATTGAGACCAGTGTTTTCTTGCAGCTGAAAATGTAACAAGTTCCAGATTCATGGAAACCTTAAATTCACTTCAATGTCTGAACAGATTGGCTCCTTTTAAAGTCTTTTTAGTGAAAAAAAACAAACAAACAAAACTGTGAAAATGTACATGAGGGACAGTGTGTACTTGCAAAGAACTGATGGCAGAGCACAGTGCTCATTCAGGTATCGCTTCATGGAAGAGCTTTCTGCACTACTTCACCAAATTCCATCTAAAGACATTCTTAAAAGGCAGGCAAGGATTATTTGCTCTCAGACAGTGGTTCTGTAAAGACAGATTTCTAGCAGACATGATATTTTGATAATGTGCTGTATAATGATTCTCTTTTCAGAACGAAGAAATCAATTAAATCAGAAGTGAGTGAGCCAACATACGATCAGGTGCAAGCAACTAACTGCGGCATTTCTATGTTTAGCTCTCTCCATAATTTGGAGCAACAAGATGGTAATGATGGTTGATTACATTTTAAAATGTGAACTTTATACTTGTTGTGACTGATGTCAGGTCACATAGGGCCATGTGTGATACCAGCTCCTTCAAAAGTAATTACCCACAGAGTGCTGTCTGTGCTGTCATAGTCAGCAAAAGAGCAAGATGTTCTGAAGTGAAGAAAACTGTTTTATTTGTTTCTGATCTCTGTCAAAAAAAAAAAAAAAAGGCATCAGCTGATCAGAGCAAAGCACATTGCCAGTCGATGTGAAACAAAAAAAATGTGGTTACAGTTTACAAAGAAAATGTTCTGAAATCAACTCCACACCATAAAAGCAAGATGATACAGCCTTTAACAAAGAATTATTCTGGAGGTTTTAAATGGAGATGGACAGAAACTGCTTTGGGAGAACATGGCGTGCTTTACTAACTGAGCAGGATTTCACTGTGTTACTGAACAGCACACGGGAGTAGCATTTCGGGGAAACCCTAATGTAGCGGTAATTAATGAAGTACGCTCTGCCTCTGCAGACTGAGCAGCATGTGTGGCTGACTCACATGGGATAATGAAATTAACACAAATATTGAACGAATTGCACTGAAGACAGTGCTTGTAGCAAATATATATTAATTTCTACATGTGCAGATCCTGCTATATTGATATTTTACCTTCTCCTTAATGTGGCTGTTGATCAAGGCAGTGATTTGTCTTTTTGTTTGAAAGAAAAACACTAAGCAGTACAGGAAAAAAATATCCTACAAATAATTACGGCACTCCAAAGCAGCCTATGTTTCCATTTTAAACAGCATTTACATCTGATTGTGACAGAAATGAGTCATTCAACTGCCTTTGTATAAAACACTCTGGGGTTTGTGTTTCATCAGGTTTAAATACAACAGATGCCTGGTTCTGGTTATATAAAGACTGTGGTCATGATCAGAAACCAACAATTACTGTTCGTAGGAAACATAATGCAAACAAAGGTTTCCTGCATCACACTGGTTCTGTTCATTTGTGTATCGACCCTGAACCTTTTAGAGTTTTTTTTTTTTTTTTCTGGATGCTAAAAGTTGTAATCTGTATTAAGTTCACTTCAAGAAAATATAGACATTTAAACTCTGTTGCCAGACAAAAACATCTATACTGGACAATTTTCTCTTTTTGCTGTCCACACTGTGCATTGGAACCAGGACTAGGTTGAAGGGATGGACGTAGCTTCAGGGTCTGGAAAGTGAAGCCTTAATAAGTGTCTTTAACCTGCATTCTTTTTAACAGTCAGCAGGGGGCAACTCCTCTGGTAACAAAAAGAAGTTCAGTTGTTTAAAAGTCAATGAGAAAATGAACCTACTTCTCACTTGATTTGATTTAGTTACTCCAACCATATCGTAACCACAATTTCACAATCACTGCAGGAACTGCCGTTGTTGGCATTTGCTGCATGAGCAAGAAAAGAAGAATACGAATGTAAAGGAAAAGAATTCACAGAAGCAGGGAGAAAAAGGGTATAAATGTACAAATCACAGGAAACAAGTGTCCTGATGAAAATACAACATACAACAGGTATTTTTTATCTTAACAATTTCAAAAAGACTCACAAGTCACTGCAAGTAATATGTCCAATGTGAGCGTGGCTTGTGGCAGGAGCAGTGTGACAGTCTAACTATAGCACAGCTGGTGTGATGTCACACCCTCCCAGAAGCTGCGACACAAGTGCTATATGTGGGATCACAGCTCCAACACAATATGTGATATTAAAAAACTATGTTCTGTGACAATGTCAAGGAATTCCCACCTGCACTAAAGAGGTAGCTTGTCAAAATCAAGCGCTTCACAAACTGTGACTAACTGATGCAATATGTGTCCTTGTGTCTTCGTACCGAGGCCTCCATGCTTTTATAGGCAGAGCCTGCATTGTCTGTAAAATCACTTTGTCCCTTTGTGCCTAAAATACTCACCTGGCACTTTAGGAACACCTTGGCAACCGTAATCACAGCAGCCAATAGAGAGAAAGCGCAACCGAAAAGCATGACAGCTTTAAGAACAAGCAAAGGTAAAAAAAAATATCAATCAATCAATCAATAACACTTTGTGATTCTGCTTCAGAGTAAGTTGTGTCACTTCTAGACATAGTTAATAATCTGCTGTTTTCAGTGAAGCCCACCAGGAAAAGCACACATCCAGGTGTCTACACATAGTAACAGGTGCTGTAAGCTTCAGTGTGTGAAACATCATTAACGCACTTAACGGCTTTCCAGTTACCTCCCAGTGGTGTTATAATGACTTCAGTTTCAAGGGCAGATTTATTTATGAATGGTAACCAACCAACTAGTCCACATCACTTCTCATAGACCTGACTACAACTGTTGGCAACGCTTACCAGTGCCATGCACACTGCAACACATTAATGAGATTAACAGTAAGACTCGGATCTGTGCTTTATCAGTAAAACTAATTAACCCTACAACAAACTTAGAAGGCCATCAATCGTGAAAAAAGAGACGCCCAAGTTGAATTTGTTTGCTCACTTATTAAGTAAAAGATTTTAAAAAATTGCCTTGGATTTTGGAATTAGAAAAGCCTACCCTTAAACCTAACTATCTGTGGAAACAAATGGTGTCTCCATATACTGTAGATATTTTACTACTTTCATTTTCTACATTCTCAGCTTTTTTACACTACTCTGTACAACAGCCCAGGAAGATATTTCCCTATGCTGAATGTATCTTCCAACAGCTTGTGGGCAAATTGCTCCTCTGTTGATCATTTCTGGTCCATGCTGCATTTACTTTATTGATGAAGTATATTCTAACTTGTTTTCAGTTTCTCCCTGATGCCTTGTCTCTGCTTCGCTCTCAGACTGCAGGTCTACTTGTGGTTCCTAGAGTTTCCAGAAGTAGAATGGGAGGCAGAGCCTTCAGTTATCAGGCTCCTGTTTTATGGAATCAGCTCCAAGTTTGGTTTCGAGAGGCAGACACCCTCTCTACTTTTAAGGTTATGCTTAAAACGTTCCTCTTTGATAAATCTTAGAGTTAGGGCTGCTCAGGATCACCTGAACTGTCCCTTAGTTATGCTGCTATGGCATTAGACTGCTGGGGGATTGTAATGATGTACTGAGCTCCTGTCCTCTCCTCTCTCTTCCTTCCATATAGTTATAACCACCATTACATGTCACTAACTCTGTGTTTCCCCCGAGGTCCTGTGCTCCCTGCGGACGTCTCTGGATCTTCACGTCCTTGACCTCCATCCGCTGGCCTCACCGATCTCCAAAACACTTATATTCATATCTATTGTTCTGCTCTCCAACTGCTATCCCCTCCCCCCCGACTGTTAGTCGACTGTAGCTTAGCATAAAAGCGTACAGCAACTTGTCAACATGCAGTCTTGTCTCTGCACTCGGCTGCATTTCTTTATTTGTATGGAGTAAATAAACAAGACACATCTGAATTACTGAGATCCAATGCTGCTTGGTGTATTCTGAGATTTCAACAAGACTGGAAATTTCCCTCTGTTAGCAGGATTTTTGCAAAGCTAGGCTAATCACCTTTTGGCTTCAGCTTTGTATTTAACAAATCCTCTCATTTTATTTCCAACAATTTTCATATTCAACTATGTCTTTCAAGTGGCGTCACCAACCAAATCAGATCATAAATCAACAAATCGGTCAGTTTTTAATTTTTGCTTCACTGGTAAGGCTTGTTGGATATGGAATGTGGAAGAGGATGGAAAACATGGACAACTAGTGGGGTTAACACAACTGCAAAGTGCACATACTAACAATACAGCTAAGCATCAGCATCACTGACAGAAATAAATGAACACTGGTTGTTGCCAAAGTGAGATTCTTCATGTCAATGTGCAGTTGGAACACCAGAAGGTCACAGATTTCTTCACCTCTCTATGTCTCTCTGCGACAAACAAAGACGTGAAATTATGTGGAGATAAACACTGCAATCATTTTTAACCTGCAACTTCTTTTTTATGCCCATGCTCAAGTACCAAACATGAGTGCTACATTAACTGATCTGCCTTGAGGCCATGGTTATGCACATGAACTCCGACTATGTTTATCTAAGCTGTATTAATAAGTTGGATGCTTCAGCTACATAGACCTTTCACCAAGAGAATGTATTTCTTCAGTCAGTTACACAGCTTTTCCTTTGCAGATGGAAAAAAATAATAATTACACCCCCTTCGAGACAACAAAACACGACGGAACCAACATATTTTGCTCACTCCTGATTATAATTGCTGTCTGAACATTTGAAGAAAAAAAAAACATGTAGCCTGGCTTTTTATCATGGCTTTTTTTGATATCAGAAAAAAAAAATAGCATTTTGGAAATCCAAAACCTCAAAGACAGCCCTCATAGTTTTATTCTCTAGATTATATACGTATTCAAAAGGCGCCTGCTGACAAAGCAACACCAATTAGCGCTGCAAAGAGTAAATGGTGATTGATTCTAAAATTGATTCAGCCATTTAACTCGCTAAAATTTGTTTTTCATTTATTAAGTGGCAATAGTCTTGTTTGTATAATTAACAGTCATGTAGTGTGTTATTTAACTCTCCCGAGACAGTCAGGAAAGGGGAGCAAATAATGATTCATTTCTATTTGTGTTTTATCGTTCTGTGTCTTTTAGCCAGAAAGAAAACAAACGTATTATACGTATGAAACATTTAGACCACCCCTGGCTTTGCATTTTGACTCTGCGAGGTATAGACTCTATCAGACCTCTGTGCTATCTGCCACCAAGATATTAGCAGCTGATCCCTTAAGTCCTGGAAGTTAAAAGTCTGAGTGGATCAGATCACCACTATTGACCAGATGCACCTCACACTTTCAGGAGACTCAGTCACCTGACTCTCGCTCAGGTCATTACACCTGCCCAGTTCCAGCTGTAGTCCATCTAAATAACATACCAGACCATGACATATGGTATTGTGAGATAATCAGTATTATTGATTTAACTGTCATGGTTTATAGGTGTCACACTAAATATCAAACACACAGAGACAAATCTGGCTGTTTGAGCCTTGTTGTCAGACGGTAATGTTGTACCTCTAAGCTTCTCTGACCCTGCCACAGTCAGAGGTGGCACTGAGTCAGACCAACAGTCATTTGGTCATTTTTTTTCCGACAGTTTCGGTGTCAATTGCACCGTGTTTCATCATGGTGAACGATGTGTGAAGGCTGCAAAAAGTCCAGCCTCTTACCATGCCTGTCCAAACAACACTAGCAATCACGGCTGAGTGTGTTTTCGGCAGCGGGGGGGCAGACGACATGTCACAGCCACGTTTGTGAAAAATAACACATTCATTTGCAGTGCTCATTTTAGGCAGGAGGATTATGTTTCTGGCTGCCAGTGTGATAAAGGGGATGCCGTGTGAGGCTGATGTATTAGTGTAGTCCATCACTTCACTCCTCCCTCAATTCCATCGTCAGCTGTAGCCTGGGCCTCTCCTGGCACCAGCACGAACAGTCACAAAGACGGCACAGATTTAGTTTGAAAGAAGCTTAAAATATGAAGTAATTGTCACTATTTCCAAATTTCATGATAAACTATGTTGCAAACATCTGTCCAATTCACCACTACAGTCCGTACACATCTAGAAATCTAAAATTTTGCCCAAGTTTGTTTCCATATTTCTGGTCACCTGACATCCTAATTCATACACATTTAATACAATGCTGTTTAGAGCCTCAAAAAATAATAAAATACTTTCAATAATTACATTCATTTCTGACTATTTTGATCATTGATTAATTAGTTTGGGTAATTTTTTCAACACAGTTCATTATTTATATACTGCCAATTAATAACATATGCAATCTGAAAGCATTTTAAGAAAACAGCTTTCTATTTACAGCTGAAACACAAATACCTTTATTCCTCCATGTCAGAACACTGGAAATAACAAGATGTTCAGTTTTGGACAACACTGATCAACATTTTCTGACATTTTACAGACCAAACAACTGATGGCGTTATCAGGAAAATTTTGAAGAATAAAAACATTTGTTGTGGCCCTAATGCCCTGATGACAAGAACCGACACATGAAGTGGCCAAAGAGTAAGTAAACCAGCAGTCTCTTGACCACGACTACGCTACTTATAAAAAAAAGTAGGGCACATATCTTATGAAAGACATACATGCTTTTCCTCCACCTGTCATGTAACATCTGTAAATATGTGGGGATGACCAGGGACACTGACTACAGACATATGACTGTGTAGACTAATCCTAAGAGCTCAGCAGAAGATGACTGGACTTCACCTTCTGCTTCTCGAAGAAGCGTCACCTCATATCCAGAAGGCTTCTTTAGCTCTGAACTACAAGTCTCCTGCTGAAACTCTTTGGACTACAGTTGACATTTTTAGCATGTGCAGACGACCCTAACCTCTGCCTTTCACCTGTGATTGATAATGGGACAGTGTTAGCGCATTAAGCTGATCATACATGCCACATAATGTACAAAGGTTGACTACTGACTTGGACTAGTTGTTCACGGTCTCCAATAAGTGATGAGGAATGACAGCAAAATCGAGGATTTGTTTTTGAGTGTCACTTAAGATCTCAACAGTTCTTACAACTGATGATATTTTCTGTGTCTTTGAGGGTTGATGATGGCCACTTACTTTTATGATTAAGAGAATCAAACCCAGGGGCGTTTAATATGGGAAAGCTCTCTAATGACAGTCATCTTCTCACGTTGTCATTTAAAGGAGACACCATATTGTTAGTGTTTTTTCTTGGGACTGATGCTTGTTATTTGTTGCAAACTGCCTCAAATATCTATTCATTCTGGTACAAAAGACGTCCCCACAGAAAAACCCCCATGACCCAGATAGAGGAATCAAACTGTTGAGGCTTTGGAAGAACAGTGATAAGCTTCTGTTTCAGTAAAGCAGTTTTAAAAAACAAAGTGCCATGATTTACTGAGTGTAACGCAGGATGTCGTGCTGCCTGTCTGCTCGCCTGCAGGTCGGTCTGTGTGCGCAGACTTACCGAGCAGCGACCCTATAAGGACGAACACCTGGACGGTGGTGCTGAAGTCCCGGTACGCCTGCTCTCTCAGGAGGCGCTGCTGCTGCTGCTGCTGCTGCTGCCCGTGGAGCCCGGAGCCCTCTGCGGCCGGACCGCCGTCCCAGCGGCTCGACGCGTTCAGGAGATCCAGCCAGAGGTGAGCCGCCGTGAAATTGACGGCGCCGTCCCCCACCGTGGCTGCCCGGCTCCCGCTATCCATGTCGGTCCACCGCGAGATCCGGACGGCTGTTAGGAAGGCTGACAGAGTGTCAGCACCGAAGAGGCATTCCTGACCTGCTCCTCTGCTCGGGAACAGAGGGGATCAATGCACATCTCACAGCTCCCGGCGCGCAGGAGATGTCAGCGAAGATGCAGGACGGACACATGCAAGCAAAGCGAGGGGCTGCTGCTTGGTCGGTATATAAATTAGAGGGGGGATCATGGTAAAATAAGCACGGGGGGATGGCTAGAATAACCTGGAAGCCCCATCATTTCCCACTGCGGATGTATGGCAGAAGCCAGTGGAGTCCGTGCGCAGCGGCTCTGGATGGATGCTGCTCTCTGATCACCTAAAACCACACCGGCGTGCGAACTCTCTATTCCGGGAACGAAGCCTGCAGCACCCAGAACACAGCAGCATCACTTCTAGCCGTCCAGAAGAGAGAGAGAGAGAGAAAAAAAATATTGTGTCTGACAGGCTGTTACTCCCGCTGCCGCTGCCAATCGCACTGTCAGAGGCTGTTTATTGGTAGACCGGATGGTGTGGGGAGACCGCAGCTGAATATTTCCCAGCATGAGGTGCAAGACTGAAGAGCAGAGCCCCTCCTCTTCTCAGAGCATCAAGAAACTCCACTGGATCTTATGAATGACAAGCAGCATGGAGGAAGAGATCAGAAGTAAATGAAGAGATGTGTCCATCAAGCCAGAAAGACAGCAATCTGTTTTGATTTTTAAGGAAATATCACAGAATTTTAAGAGGAATTCATCGCCTTAAACAATGCTTCTAACCATTCTGTAAATGTAATGTTGATCAAAATAAGAAACAGTGGGTAACTTTACATGAGCTCTCCCCTTTTGCACTGCTGCTGCTCTCTTGTTCGGTCTGTTCTCTCACAGCAGCTCGATAAATTCCTCTTTGGTTTGTTGAAAATACCAAAGACAGGAGAGGGCATTCCTCTGCAATACAAAACATTATATACACCAATTCATGTTTTAATTATTCTCATAGCAGACGCTCTTTCCTCCAGAATACAAGATCAAAATCTTAAATCAGGTTTTATTATAATTTATGGCACAGTGCTAACAACTTCCCAGCAACTGTTGGTTGACTAAGGAAAGACACATCTGACATCTTATCAATCAAACATATTGTGCTTGTTCATGCAGAGTGGGTTCAGCTGGAGGGACAGTTTTGTTTGTCTTCAGCTTCACTCTCAGACTTCCTTCTTTGATGCAGGTTAGATTGTTAATAAAGTCCCTAAGAGAGCAGCTGAAGTCATCAAAGCAGATCCTCCGCGCTTTGAAACAGACAAAAACCCTTTAATGTGAAATTCCAACCACCACAGTGGGATTATTAAGAATATTTGCTTTTGTTTCATAATATTTCATCGTCATTCCCCCACCTGACCTGTTTCATCCTATATATCTCATATCTGTCATGATGTGTAAAAAAAAGATAATTATAAAAATCATTTGCACTAATAACTCCCATGTAGTTAATTCCAGGAGGCTACTAAACTCAGACTGCTATGCTGAACCTGAAACGATTGATTTTGTGAATTTTTCATTTTGGATTTCCTAAAATTATTTATGAAATTTTAAAAACGAAACATACAACACAAAATCATTTAAAAATATATTATTTATTGATAGATCTTTTTAATACAACAGAATTATTACAGAGCCCTTATACAACCAAACAAAATATTTATACATCTATTTTCAGGTTAGAACACTGCATAAAGGCAAGAAGTGTTTTATACAAAGAGATGAACTCAGACTTGATTATTAGTGATTGGTTCCAACCATACAACATGTTACTGTGTCTGAGCCATCTTAGCGTGAAGCTTGTGACGCACAGATCATTTTCACGGCAGACATTTTGTCATGTCTCTGCAGTCAAAGCACAAGTGTAAGTAATGACAACAGACTCTTCTGCTTTTGTGGAACACGTCAACAGAACAGCAGCAGCACTAGCTCCTACTATTTTTCTGCACTGGCAAGTCAAAATGCTTCTCTTAGAAATGAAAGAATTATGCAGGAAAATATACTCATGTGTCATGAGAACTCTAATGAACTAAAAAAAAAAAACCTGGAACTGAGGAGTGTTGAGTTAGTTTCAGGTAAAGAAAAGTCAAAAATCAAAAGCTCCAACATTGGAATGCAGTCATACCGTACCGTTTAATATCCTCTGAGAAACTACAGGCAATGGCGGTAAGCATCACTAACAGCAACCAGTCAGTGATGCTTGATAGATTTGTTAGAGCATTGCCTTCTAGCAAGAACTTGTGTTGTCCAAGTGGCTCTTGAAGAACTCCTGGACTCTTTCCCACAGGTTCAGCTGAGCTTCAGAGTGGGCTTTTGACTCGCCACCAAACACCACCTCTCTCCCAACCGCTGCGTGAAACCCAGACGGACAATAAGGCATGGGAGGCACTTCCAGAAAGTGTCCAGCTTTTGGATAGGTGACCACCTGAAACGATTTTTTGCCGTGATTTCTCAGTATTGCAGCAGCCTGGTTGGCAAAAAAAGGGCTGTTCCAGTTGTGGTCGTCTTCAGAGACAGCAAAGAGGAACTGGCAGGTGGCACGCTCAATTGGGATCAAAGAAGCCCTGTTCTTTTCCAAGGAAGGGTCTGGTAGGGCATCACGAATATCTACAAGCCCAGACTCTGTTATTTTAACATTCTTTATGACTGGGGACAGTGGAGGTATTACAAGGTCTTTGTAGTGTACAGGAATCACAGTATTTGCATTGCAGGCGTTAATACAGACGGTTGCTGAGATACCAGAGAAAAAAGACGACATCAACAGAGCCAAACCACCACTGTGAGAGATTGATATGATGCCAATCCCAGGACCTTTAACCTGTAAACAGAGATAATGTGTTAACACATGTTTCGATGTCTTTTTTTGTAACATGTACATCTGTGAGTACAATCCTGACTGTGAGCATATAAACACGCACACATGTTTTTGTTCCTCAGACTCTGCTTCTGCACATTCAATTTTATTAGTTTGAATAATACAGGATGCTACATTAAATGCTGAATCTCTGCTTATTTATTTATTTATTTGTCTATTTTATATTTCTTCGATATTAAAGGAACTCTCAAAAAAAGAGAAAAAGAAACAGCTCGTAGCCCAAAGCAGACCACCTCATCAGTCACACCTCCTGGGAGTTCTGCTTGGACATGCATGGTTGCCAATGGAACTAGCACATTCACATTTATTGATTTTACTGCTGATGGAAGCAATGGGATGTCACTGGATGACATTTCATCATCTAGCAGGATCTAAACATACAGCCAAAGCAACCCAAGAAGTGCAGAGGTAAAGAGGTGAAATATTCTCAAGTGGCGGGTCATTTAGCTGATCTCAGTCCTCCCACTAAATACGAAAGGTAGTGAGGTGCCACAACAAGCTAGAGCTTATGGTGTTTGCAGTGAAAGCCTGAGAAAGCATCACCAGGGAAGATACAAAGCATCTGCTGAGGTCTATTGGTCCAAGACTTCAGAAGGACATTGATTGCAAAAGATTTTTAACAAAATGTTGCAAATAATTTTGTTTGTCATGTGTATCTGTCCAGTTTGCTTTTGAATTCCTAAACTTTGGACAAAGTGTTACAAGGTCAATATCTTCAACACAGTTCTTTCTATATTGATATAAACTCACTCAAATTAAAGTAATTTAAAAAGACATGGCAGACAATTAAGCAATTAGTTATCTCGTCTAAAACATTGTCAAAACATGGAAAACTGTCCATTAAAACTCTCATAGCCCAATCTTCCAATTGCTTGCTTTGTTTCTTTAAAATGTAAAGGTTAGTTAACACATCAAAGTAAGAAAAGAAATTAATTCTTAAAAAAAAAAAAAAAAGCAGATCAGAGCTTCTGTCCATCTGCTATGAGACTGATCAACAAATAATTTCAGCTCTAGAATAACCTTGAATATGCAAGTTTTGGTCACAGATCAATGGTTGTGACATCAGAAAGTAGCCAGCAGATGGCAACACTGGCACAGTAAATACAAGCACAATATATTGTCTCTGTAAATGTTGGGACATTGTTTTCACCATTTTCAGAAAAAGTAAAACAGCAAAGTAAAACGGTACATGAATTGGGATAATTTTTTTCATTTTAATCTTTATTACTAACCTCTGGCTGGCTCCTCAGATATGTTACAGCCTCCTCGAAGTACTCCAAATCCAAGTTTTTAGGGTTTTTCGGTAAATCCAGGTAACGAAAATAGGCCAGTGCCAGAACAACAAAACCTTTACTTGCCAAGAGGCTGGCTCTGGGTTCACTAAGGCCTCCGCCAAAAGTGTACAAGTCCACAATACCTGGGAATGGACCCTTTCCTGAAGAGAAATAAAACATAAGGCACTTAAGGAACATGGAGTTCACTAGTGGAGTTCAATGAATGGAACTCTAGTTTCTCTAAAACACACTCACCTGGAGGTATGAAAAGGACTCCTCGTATTCTTCCCTCCTCTACAGGTATTCTCTTCATCCCCTCAGTCATGTATTCTCTCTCATTAGTTTCAGATGCTAAGACAACACCAGTCTCTTCATTCACGGCCTCTAACTCCACCCGTGTTGGGCTAAGCACATTTTTCTTTGTGAATTTATTGTGTGGAGTGTCTGGTGCCATGGTCCAAAACAAGCCCATGGGCTCCACACCAGTGTAGCTTCCTCCCAGCGAGGGCGCACGGGAGACATCCACCTGGCCGCTTCCATCGGCTTTGTACAGGGCAGAGGCTTTGAAAACAATCCCTCTGTCATCAACCAGTTTGGACCTCAGTTGCACTGGTTTGTGCGGCGCAAGGCCCTCCACTTTTACCTGCACCAGTTTATCAAAGAGACAACGAACACTGGGGAGGATTTTCAAGCGGATCTGTGAGTAAGCCATTGCAATTGTCCAGAATGGCAACAGCGATCACTTTAATTGTCCTGCTTCCCCCTTATTTTAGTCTTGCTTCTAAAGCTGTGGGGTCACTGCATCTGTCAGAGTAGGAAAGAATAAATGAAAGTCAGTGCTTGCAAACACACACACACACACACACACACACACAAATCACATCTGCATGCCTCACTGCTACCATTGTTTTCATTAAAAACATTCATTTAACAATTTTAAAAATAGCTTTCATGAGAAACTCTGCAATGTGGAGTTTCACAGCGAATCTGAGTCTCCAAACAGAAATGTTCCATTCAGTATTGCATAAAGAAGCACCATAATGTCTACATTAACCACGTCCTCAGCATAAACAGGCATATTAATTCAAATATTAAAAACCAGGGACCAAGTGCACAACCATTATTCTGCACAGAAGTGACAAATGCAGGTAAAGGGAAATTTAAGTACAACACTTCTATGTACACTGGAGATTCAAATTAACCTTCACCCAGATAAGAGAGTGACAGTCACATGGGCAGCACTAATGTGTTCAATCTGAAGAGAGTAGAAGAAAAAGAGAGTAGATTTGGCACGCCATGGTCTGCCACCGACCACATGTAACTGACCAGTTTCCATGGCTAAAGTTAAAAATGGAGTGAGCTGCTCGAGGAAAGGGCATTTAAGGACAAGGGGATCCAGGGTAATGTTTAACTGGGTGAAGGGTGAAGTAATGCCGTTCACTGTCCTGCAGATCAAAGCAGAAACAACTAGCATCCAAAACACAACAGCTAACTTTACACGCTGCTTAAATTCACCCTAGTATTGTCATTTACTTAGCTAGCTACTAACTTTGCAGGTTTGAGCTTGGTTGAGTTTTTATGTTAGTTTTGGACGACGAACGACTTAAGTGAATAATAATGTAGGTCATACTGTATACGCTGACATTAAAATTAAGACAATGTCTCCTACCAACGTATGCATGTACAGCCTCGTAGGATTTTTCTGGACACCGACGGTATGAAAGAAGCAGTTCTCACCCAGGAGGAAGCGACTGGGCGCAACCACTGTGCCCAAGAAGGGGGGTGAAAGAGTAGGGTTTCCGGAAAGCTTCTCTGTTGTCTGTTTATGTAGAGTGTTTATCACACACTTACACTAGTCGTTGGCATATTTATTTAAGATGTACTTATTGAGTGTAATAGTAAAGGAGAGATTATAACGGATCGAACATGATAAAAAAGTCATACTCCCTATGCAATGTAATTGTCCATATTGCTGAAAGTTCATATTAGATAGATACAGTCGTCCTCAATTGTTTTTATACCCTTCCATTAAAGAGAAGGCAAAATTCACAATAGTCACTCAAATAACCAGAAACTGAAAAAAGTAAAAAGAAAAAGAAAAGAAAAGTAAAGAAAAAATTGCTAAATTATAATTTAGTAAAATAAGACATTGTTTTTGAATTGTGGTTGAAAAGAATAATTAAAAAAAAAAACACACAGTCCCAGACAAATTAGAGCACTTAGCTGATGAGCAGTGGGCCAATATACCTGTCAACCGGTGCAGAAGTCTGGTTGAGAGTTACAGAAAACACTTGATTGTAGTGATTGCCTCAAAGGGTTGTTCAACAAAATATTATTTTACAGGTCCCATCATGCTTGTTTTCTTTTTTGTTGTTTTATATATATATACGTATTTCTGTTGAAGCACAATTCAAAAGTAACGTCTTGATTTTCTTTTTTTTAATTAATTGATTTATTTATTATTACTTTTGCCAATTTCAACTCATTTCAGTGACAGCTGTTTTTGACCTTCTTTAATGGGCTGTGTAAAGAGGTCCCCAGCACACACTATAACAGGTGTAAGAGGGTAAGCAGGGATGGCCTGACACAATGGTGGATAACAAGGAGCAGAAGAGGGCAGATGTGATAGATAGAGCAATTCTAGCTGACAGTAACACTGAGTAGAAAGAGCATTAGGGGCCTGAAGGAACAACTGGAACAGATGCGGAAGGTAGAGATCCACAGTGGCAATAGGAGCATGAGGCTGTGATGACCAACCTGGAGGAGTGGCTCCAGAAGATTTCAAGTACAACAGAGGTCTCTGTCTAGCAGAGTGCAATCCTGGGAATAGCTAAGCACCTTTAAACTCTTCACTAGCAAATATGATAAAGTCAAAAATCTGCTACTTGTTGGTAGAAAGGCAAAGCAGCCACAAGATGTCAGTATTAGCACAAAGTTGTAAAACTGGGAAAGCCTGAAAGGTTAGCTTCAGTGTTCTAGTGCAAGAGTAGCATTTAGTTTTTACCTTCCAACAGTGTAGTCTGGCATTTGTAGCATGACCCAGTCTTATCATTATGAACACCGTAATTCAATTCAATTCAATTCAATTCAATTTTATTTGTATAGCGCATATTTACAACAACAAGTCATCTCATAGCGCTTCACAAAGGCAGA